ACTAGATGATCTTACGGTCCTTTCCAACCCAAACCATTCTGTGATTCTATAACTCTGCTCTGAATGGTGACAATGAAACCAAAGGACCCTGCTGCATTCTGGGGAAAAAGGTGATTACAGAGGCTGGAGCTGTATGGTTTCAGACGTAACTATGAACTAATAAAATGTAGAACATAAATGTTTTTCTTCCTTTGTATGATTTCTCTTAAGAGTTATTTCCTTCAAAGCTATAGCAAATATATAATTTAGATATTGCAAATAACTAGTCTCACAGCATAACTAAGCGCATGGATAGCTTGAGGTTATCAGCTCTGAGAACATAAGATCAAAAATCTTCCAGATGCAGAATTACAGAAGCAGAGAGAGCTGTGCTGTTCTTATACTGGAATTGACTTTGAACCTTGTTTTTTTTACCTGTCATGTTGCTACAATGACTTGACTCATCTGTATGAAACAGCTGTTCTACATTTATGACTATATGGGCCAAAACACATGCATTGTCAGATATGCATTCTTGCCTTTGGAAACCCACCTAAAACCCAACCAAGCATCTCCCTTGATCTGTAGGACCTGGAGTGCTTGTTAGTGCAAAAGTGTTTTATGTGATTGACCCAGTTGGACAATACAAATATTGTTTACATGGATATACTCTTTTGTGGCATGTTCAAATTCTACACCTAAAAAAAGGAAATGTGCTTTAATGTTGCATTTTCAAGAATTACCTCCATTTTACGTCTATTTTCCCCCTATTGTTTATTGTGGGTTGGTTTGTTTGGGGGTTTTGGGGGTTGTTCGGGTTTTTGAGGAAAAAATAGTGGGTGTTGCACACATTCCTGAATGCTGTATTGTGTGAGGGTTTGTTTGTTGGCTGATCGTAGGGGATTGGTGGTGGTGGTGGTGTTTTTGTCTTTAAATCAGTGGATGTTGCACGCATTCCAAATAATGTATCTTTACAACATTTGGTAGATGAAAAATGTTTCAGTTGCAGCAGTGATCTTGCTGTTTGTCAAAAGGTCTTTAAAGTGAGTTGTATGTTCATTGTAATATAAGTTAACTGACGTTGTGCATACTGTTACAAATGAAGCCTTGAAGTTAGTGCTATGCTAATAAAGTATCCAGTTAAAAGACCCAGTCAGATTAGCCAGAGCTAGTTGAGAGGTGTGTAAATACTCACAGGCTCTGGGTTTTAGCATGGAAGATGCTTATTGAAAAATCAGTGGAACTTTTACTAAATACATAGCCTCATGCATTTGGACTAGAGCTGTACTTGTAGTAGAGAATCCTTCTCAGGATCCAATGCCAGGATATAAAGTTCTGTATAAAAATAAACAAGATGTGGGCAATTGTGTTAATGTCCTTGCTGGGAGTATGATGTCACTGCTTTTGATGCTTACAATGTTTTTTGCCTCCCTGTCAACATATGTCAGAATGAATTCATCCTACTAGACTGCTACTTCATTTTAAAAATGAAATGACTATTTAGTCATTAGAATATTTCTAATTTAAATGGTATAAGTCTTGAGTATGTTATAAAAGAAGGAATAATTTAAACAATGATGAAGTTAGATATTGGTGCTGTATGCAAGATTAAGACAAAGGCCCTGTTTCCCAGTTCATAGCAATTCAGAAATCTTATTTGCTGGAATACTGATCCTCTGTTTCTTTTAGGGGACTATCAAAAAGGGAATCCAGAAATAAGTTCTAAAAATACAAAGATTTGGTTCTGATCAAATCTAAGATGAAAAATCAGTAATCTTCTTTGTGTAGTAACCTTCTTGCACAAGTACTTCGTGTAATTCCATACTATTTTAAGTTAATAGGTCTGAGACTGACTGACCTTTGGTTTCAAAGCTTGCTGACTTAGGCTTCCAGATTCTGGTGTTATCTTGTAGTAAGCATACTCCTGATGGCCTTGTTCCTTAAATGTGGACAATAAAATTATTGAGTTTATTGAAGCTTATCTGCCTGTATACATTTCCATTCCACATAGTGGAATTTGCATAATTACACCTATGGACAAATCAGATTTCCAAGGTTACTTTCTGAGAAAATACATTTCTGTGCCAAATTACTAGTATTACAGTGGCATCTAAGAGCACAGTGTTAAGAACTACAACTCTGCTTATATCTCAGAGGGTTATACAAGAACTAGATGGGGCTGAATGGGAGAGTAGTGGGTTTTGTATTTGGATAGGTTGCTCCTCCCCAGGAAAGTCCTATCTTCCTGATCCTCGTTTTAGGTATTCCTGTGACTAAGATCCATAAGATGTATACTACAGTTATTCAAGTTCTAAGATGTCTTCTTCAGTGTGAACTCCTTTTGGAGCTAACATATTCCTAAGGGCTCTTCAGCCTCTTGTGGAATAGAGCGAAGGTCAATATGCAGCTAAGTGACCCAATAATAATGTTGGTTTGTTACCTTTTTGGTAGTCAGGACTTGGAGAATGCAGTCTAACTGCAGCCAGATAATGTAACCTCCTGCTTAGGTTACTATGGTACTTGGACTGTCCGAAGCATAAACATCTTAGGCTGCTCACCCCTAGTAGAAATACTGATCCTTGTATTTATCTTGTGATTTATGAATTGAAGCATTGAGCTAGTAGACTTAATCTGCCTTTAACATTAAGTACACTTGTCTTTATTTCAGGCCCTGCACTATTTCTGGAGTATTTGTGATCTCTGCTACCTTCACTCTTAACTGTCATTAAATACGTGTCGTTTTTGCTTTCTTCTCCCCCAGGGATAAGGCTGGTGGATATGGAATCCAGGCCCTTGGTGGAATGTTAGTTGAGTATGTCCACGGAGACTTCTTGAATGTGATGGGATTTCCTCTGAATCACTTCTGCAAAAAACTAGCAGAATTGTACTATCCACCTTCTAAACATAATGTACAACACAAAAAGTATGACTCTATCCCTTCTGTGGACACTTTTGAGAACCTAAGTGATGGAGAAAGTGAATCTGCAGATTTCACAGAGCACAAAGGTGCTAGTAAGTTGGACAGCAGGATGTGTTCATCAGGAGCTATTTACAATTCTGAAAACAGTTCTAGTGTCAAAACTGGGTTTATGGTACCTCTGGAAAGTCAGAATGGCGTGCCAGAAAGTGCAGCAAAACTTCCATCTAAGATTCTAGAGCTGATGGATGGATTTAGAGCCTCAAAGGTAAGGAAAAAAGGAAACCCAAACCCCTGCTTACTACAATGCTGGCTGATACAGTTGTTTCATTAGACTTCAATATATTACAGGTAATGTGAAATACTTGAGCTGGTATAAGAATGTAGTAATAATTAGTAAAAGATAACCGCTGAAGTACTAGAGACTCCAAGATAGCTGAAACTTCTGGTGCAGTACAAGTGTTGGTTTTTGGTTTGGTTTCCTCTTGAGAGGAAAAAATTGGGTTAGGTTTTTTGGTGGTTTTGAGTTTGGTGGTTTGTGTTTCTTCTTACTGATCACAAGACCACAATCAAGCAGAAAGTTACCTTTGTATACTCTGCAAAGGCAGCATTTAATATGATTAACTTTTCTGAGTTAAAGCTGTGACAATAATTGTATATATTGTATTTCCTTTCTAACTTCTAATGCTTAGCATTAGAATTCTGTGGAGGATCTTAGGGGGTTTTTTGTTCCCTGTTAAAGAGATTTTTATATACCCTGTTTCATGTTCCAGGTATGTTTAGCTGATAATATCCATGCAGTATATGAAGGAGACATACAAGCAACAGTTTACAAACAGAAGGTCACATGCTCTGTGTAGCAGCCAAGTGTAATGAGAAATGAGTAGCTAGACTTTTTAAATACTACTAGTTTTTCTACTCAGTTTCAGTGTAGTGAAGACAATAGTGAAGAATGCAAAGGAGAAATGAGCACCAATCATTCTAGTAGACCACTGATTTCCATCAGGCATTGTCATGTTTTAGGAAGAGGTGAAAAAAAATGCTAAAGTGGCAGTGAAATGACAAACCTGGAACTAAAGATTTAACACATTTGAGGGGGATGGAGGGAAACACGCCAGACAGTGAACAATGGTTTTGCTGCAACAGCAGAAAGTTGTACTCAGATCTGAAGGAAAACCATAGTGTGGTCACTGTAGATCTGTGGGCGTGCTGCTTGCAGGCATGCAAAGTAGTACTGAGAGATTTGGAATAAAGCAGCCTTGAGATTGCTGCGTTTGAGCTTCTTTGTCTATAGAGAAAGTGAGATGATGTTTAGCATTTTGTCAATTTCAGTAAAATATGGAAACTCATCATTTTTTGCACATTATGTACACTCTTTACAGTTATGTGATGTAGAATTTGGTTTTGTGCAGTAAATAGAGTGTAGAGTCTGGAAATAGAAGCAGAAGCTTTCCTTTCCCACTAATCCAGTGTAAAGTCATAGTATGAAGTGCTGAGTTGAACTAGTGGGAAATATTTTTTCTCAGGGTTTGAATCTTTATAAAATTAATTACCAGTTGCACTTCTTCCTGTGATCTGACAAAATACAGCATCTCTCCACTTGTAGAATAGGGATAAGAACACAAAGGCATTTAGTTTCACAAAAGCTCTCAAGTGCTGTTTCATTTTGGTCCTTCAGTGTTGTTTTAAGGACGTCATAAAGCAGAATGGAACCTCCTCCTGGTTAAGATGTTGCTACTTGTTTTACTTTGAACAGCTGCTGTTGCAGAACAGGAGGGGATCAGGGTTAAATCCTGCTTTCTCAAGATTAGCATGTTCTGAATTTGCACAGTCTGATCCATACTCAGACCTTTGGGGTTTTTCCTTTGATTTCCCCCTACCTCCTTGAACTGAGAATTACAAAATGGTAGAAGGAATGATTTGGATCAGCCAAGTTTCTGACCTCACTTCTTACTTTCTCTTTCCTGTTCTTACAGTTACAGGGTGGTATCAGTCCAAAGACTGGGCAGGTCTTGGAAACCAAATGGTTGTAGGTTAGATACAGTTGGCTCGGTAAAAGCCTGGATTATGATAAATCCCAGCTATATGTTCTCTTTAGAATAACAGAGGAAACTGTAAAAAGAGGATGAAGATGATATGATATGATATATATACGCACACAGTAGCAGACCTTCCCCAAAGTTAATCTCTTTCTCCATTTGATTTTTATCAAACAGAATGTCAATCTTTTTTTTTCCTTGACTGCCTTGATTAAGTACATTATAGTTGCCTGCAGTCACAAAGAAATGGATTCTGTGATTGCTGTGTGTGTTTCCTCTCTTGTGCTCTATGAGGTGTGCATGTAGGACAGTTGTGCTCTGAAGTTTTATTCTTTTTTTTCCCTCCTTAATTTTTATTAACCAGACAAGTATTACAGCAGCTGAAGCTGTTACACTGCCTTGGTGGAGTTTTCCATTCCTTATGTTTTGGGTGAATCAAATGTAATTTGATCTTTTGGCATTGGTTCAGATGTTTAAGAATGTTTGACATTATGGAACGGTCGTATAGATTAGGATATGCCAAATACCGGAATAAAGAGGTGGTCTTCATACAAAATCTGTAGGCTGTGTTGCAGAATATTTTGAGATCCCTTTTCTCCCAGACACCTCTGGAAAAATTCTGTTACTTGGCTAAAATAAGGAAACCCTCTGAGAGGGAAGGAAACCCTCAGATGATGTAATTATCTTAGCAATTTTTAGGAGTTTTGTTAAACTATGTTGCACTTAAAGAGTAGTTCTGCAGAGTAATTCTAGGCAAAAGGTTCATTGGTTGCAGTCTTTTAAACATAGTATGCTAACAGATTTTTTTTCCTACATTTAGTCTCTGTTTGTAGCCTCTAAGCTGAAGATATTTGATCACCTGAAAAATAAAGGTCCACTGAAAGCTGTGGATATTGCAAATGAGGTTGGAACCTCCGTGTGTGGAACAGAAAGACTCCTTGATGCATGTGCTGCTCTTGGATTACTGGAGAAAACACCACAAGGTGACTAATTCCTTCTCCCTGGAACTGCATATAGTACTGAAAGACATGCAGGACTGGAAGAGCTGCTTTGAAGGTCACAGGGTTTAACTTGATATTGTGGGTAATTTGGAATTAGGGGGGAAGGGGAATGGATTGTTGCTTGTTCGCTTTCATTATTCGTAGCTGGAATTGTTTCATTTAGGGGCAGGCTTTATGTAATGAACATATTCAAGTCTTTGAGGAAACCATAGATTGCTTTTGCTCACTGAATATAGCACTGTCCAGATTTCTAAGAAAAAGTTAACAGTTGTGTGGGCAGTCTCAGGGAGCAGTGTAATAGTTCAGACATATCATCTGCATTTGGGTTACAATAACCCCATGTAATGCTACAGGCTTGGGGAAGAGTGGCTGGGAAGCTGCTCAGTGGAAAAGGATCTGCGGGTGCTGATTGATGGCCACTGAACATGAGCCAGAGTGTGCCAAGGCAGCCAACAGCATCCTGGCTTGTATCAGCAATAGCGTGGCCAGCAGGAGTAGGGAGGTGATCATCCTCCTGTACTTGGCACTGGGGAGGCTGCACCTTGAATACTGTGCTCAGCTCTGGGCCCCTCACTACGAAATATTGAAGTGCTGGAGTGAGAGAAGGGCAACAGAGCTGGTAAAGAGCCTGGAGCACAAGTCTTATGAGGATTGGTTGAAAGAACTGGTTGTTTAGCTGGAGAAAAGGAGGCTCAGGGGAGACATTATTGCTCTCTACAACTACCTGAAAGGAAGTTGTAACAAGGTCAGTATCAGTCCCTTCTCACAAGTGATAGGGCAAGAGGCCTCCAGTTGCATCAGGGGAGGTTTAGATTGGGTATTAGGAAAAATTTCTTCAGGCATTGGAACAGGCTGCCCAGGGAAGTGGTGGAGTCACCATCCCTGGAAGTATTTTAAAACTGTATAGATGAGGCCCACAGTGATTTAGTGATTAGTGATTTATGATTTAGTGGTGGTCTTGGCAGCCCTGGGGTAGCGGTTGGACTTGATGAGCTTAGGGGTCTTTACAACCTAAATGATCCTATGATTCTGTCTAAAATAATGACCAAATTCCATTCCCTGATGCAGCAATGCAGTGTCACAGTCCTCAGCAGTTAATCAGGATTTTAACAAGGAGTGCTCTGGAATGTGTTCCTCTTCAGGGACAACAACTTAAATTTTAGTGCCCCTAACTGGAACAGTGCTTGAAGGTGTATATAGGTGAGGGAGTCAGGATTATCTCTTTCAGTCCACTCTATGTACTTACAAGTTTCCATATGCATCATTTACGTAGTAAGACTTGAAATGGTCAAGTGTCAAGAAGAGGAAATAAAGCAGGTTTTCCTCTCTGTTAGAGGACAAAACCAAGGAGAAAGCCCTGAAGGCAAAACATACTGGAGAAAGCTTGAACTTAAGGGGAGGAGAAGCCGTAATCTAAAGCAAAATGCAGCCAAGAATGAGGAACTTCTAGTACTCTCCATTAAATATTAGGTGTCTAACTGAGCTGCTCTGGTTTAGAAAAAAAACCCAAGTACTTGCTCCTTTAAGAATAAGAGGACTTTTAGAATTATTTCATATAAATACTTGCACAGAAAATATAACATCAGGATTTGATAGGTATTTAACAGCTATGCAGGAAGACATGCCTTCAGATTTAAAGCAACAGTTATACTGAAACAAAGCCTGGTTACAGTTGTTTTCTTCCCATAAGGTTACAGTAATACAGATTCAACAAATACTTACCTGACCTCAGATGGTGAATACTCACTTCATGGCTACATTATCCACTCTAATGACCACCTTTGGCCTCTCTTCACATACCTGGAGTCTGCTGTCAAAGAAGGCAGCAGGCAGAACCATCGAGCCTTTGGAAAGAAAGCAGAGGATTTATTTAAGGTAATACAAACTCTCATTAGTAGCAAAACTAGCTGTGAGGAGCCCAGAACTGATCTAGGGGAAGATAGAGAATGGGCCATCTAAGAAAATTGGTCAGTCTCAGAAATGGTAGAAACACAATGCAACTAGTCCTGGACTGCTGTTCTCTTTAACTTTAAACTCTGAAGTCCTGGAGCAATCACAGAATATACTGGGAAATTCAAGTGCTGACAAAAATTCTCTAGCTAAAGTGTTGCCCATCCAGCTAACATACTCTAAGACCAACCTCTGGGCCTGTGTACGTTGCTGTCCTTTTTAAACACCAGATAGTAGTATCTTACCATACAATCACCTTTTCCATGTCAGATGCCAATCACTTGATGCTGATGTGCATTCAGTTCAGTCTGTGCTGACTGCATAATCATAGCTGTTTTCAAAGTCGCTCTGTGTTCATGCAAACTTGTCAATTATCCTTCTGGTAAAGCAAGTGGAGGGGCATAAATATTTGTGCCTGTTTAAGGAGAGGGCTGGTAGAGTGAGCAGAACATGTCAGGACTTTACCTCTGACAGCAGAGCTGGCTAAAAAGTGTACTTCAGGCTATATCCTGAGGTTCCTAATTTGTACCTATCTTCTAGATGCTGATGAAGCCTATCTCCTAAAGGAGATGTCTACATCCCTCATGCACAGTTGATAAAAGGAAATAAGGGCTTTTGGAAACTTAAGGTCCTGTTAGCCTAATGTTAGCATCACTACAGTGAAACAGCAAAGGATTTGGATGAGCAATTAGTCAATGGCACTTTTAATCTTAGAATCTCTTAATTTTAGGATTCTAATGTTAATGGTGTGTACCTACTGCTTTGGTTGAACGTAGTTTTAGTTAAGTCATGAAACTGAACTTCAATTACTGTGCTTTTTTTTTTCTCTTTTTAGGACTATTATCACAGCCAGGAAGTGAAGCAACGTTTTATGGCTGCCATGCACAGCATTGCCCGCCTGACAGCAAGAGATGTGGCTACAGCATTTGATCTTTCACGGTTTAAATCTGCTTGTGATTTGGGAGGTATTGCTTGTAATTGAACTTGTATACAAATTTAAGGGAAAAGCTTGATTTCAGTTCTGTATTTTATTACTTAAAATATACATGTGGTTTTTTACTAAAACCACATTATTAGCCACTGTTATTTTTCTGGTATGGTAATGTCAGAATAAAAGGGTTAAGTGCAGTTAACTAAAAGCAGAGTTGCTTAAATGGTGTTTGAGTAGTTTGAAGTAAGTAAATATTTGTCACAATCAGTTACCTACTGACATAGCTCAACACAGAAAACAAGATGGTTTGTGGCTCAGGAGATAGAATATTGGGCTGGGAGCTCCATTTTCAACTGTGCTGTTGCTGTCCATTGGCATGTCCAAGATTTTTCAAAAGTAATGAAGAATTTATTTCTGAATCCATCTGTATTGGGGTGTCAAACTTGAAACACTACACTGCTAGAACAAAATGTTTTGATTCTTTTAGAATTGGTTTGTTTTGTGTGTAGTTTTAATTCTGATTTGATGTCTATTGTAGTGCTATATACAGCCTTGTCTTTAAAAATGTCTGCAAACGCTGGGAGAAAAGACTTGATCTGACTTTTTTAAACTTTCAACAGGTTGCACTGGAGCTCTGGCTCATGAATTAGTACAAATATATCCAAATCTCAAAGTCACAGTATTTGACCTTCCAGAAGTCATTGCAAACACCTCTTACTTTCAGCCTTCACCACAACATACAGCTCCAGTAACGTTTGTATCAGGTAAATGTAACACATGATCTTTTTGTTGCATTTCTGTTACCCTAGAGCACAGTGCAGGGTCTTTTGTTGCAGAAAATGGTCTGCTACCCAGCTCCAACCCCAAACTTGTCTTTGTACAAGGCAATAGATACTCACCCATGCCAAATGGGGACAGTGTATTTCTCAGCCTGTGGGGATAAAAAAACCTGGCTATGGTTGGAGAACATGGATAAATAAGGAAGTATGAATTAGTAATGTTTTTAGTACCACTGGGAGCAGAGGCTGCATGTCCTTTCATATGTTATGGAATTCTTACCTGTGTTCTGCTCTTCTCTTTAACTATGCTTTATCTGCAAATCAGTGCATACCTATACCTGTTCATTCTTGTTTCTTTCTTTGCCTCTGCTGAAGCTCCTAATTGCTCTGCAATATTTTCATTTCATTTTGTAGGAACGTCCTTTGTGGTTTCTGCAGGAATGTACTAACTCTGCTTTCCAACAGGTGACTTCTTCAAGGATAATCTTCCAGAAGCAGATCTTTATATCCTTTCACGTGTTCTTCATGACTGGCCTGATGAAAAAATCCATGTGCTTTTAAGCAAGATATCAGCTGTTTGCAAACCAGGTAAGTTTTTTTCATCTTGTGGGCTTAAAAGTACATGTTAATTCATAAACATAATGAGTTAGAGGTTCATATTAAAAAGGTGTATTTTTTTTTGTCCAGTAGTAATAGCCTTGGCTTGAACATCTATGCTTGCATTATATTAACACCTACTAAGAAAAAAATGAAATAAAGCTGAACACAGTTTTGTTCCATTACTCATGTTCTATCACTGGCCACCAGAGAGAGGTGATCAGTACCATCCCCTCTGCTCCCCTTGAGGAACTGTAGGCTGTGATGAGGTTTCCCCTCGGCTTTATCTTCTCTAAGCTGAACAAGTCAAGTGACCTCAGCCACTCCTCATAAGTCTTGCCCTTGAGGCCTTTCACCATTTTGGTCACCCTCCTCTGGACACCCTCTAGTAGTTTGATGTCCTTTCTATATTAAGGTGCCCACAGTTGCACACCGTACTTGAGCTGGGGCTACACCAGTGTACCGTACAGTGGAACAGTTACCTCCCTTGACTGGTTAGCAATGCTGTGCTTGATGCACCCCAGGATACAGTTAACCCTTTTGGCTGCCATGGCACAATTGACTCATGTTTGAACAGTACTAAAGATCAAAGAAGAAGACGAAAAGCAGAAAAGCCTACAGTGCTAAGATTAACTGCTGCTTTAATCCAACAGGATTAACTAGCTATAAGGTTTGTTTCGTAAGAGAGCATTCAAAATTAGATCTAGGCCATAAAGAATAATCCCATTTGGGGGGGGGGAATAAAAAAAAAATAATTGTGGGTGACTGTCTTAATCTTCTTATGCAAAGATTGGGGTATGACAGGTGCTAACAGGAGCTGCTTGCTTCAAATGGAAACAAGACTTAGTTTAAGAGCATAGTCCTAAAAGTGATCTGAACTTCACTGAAGTGGAGACAGTGCTCTAAACTCCCCCTTCCTTTTAACAATTAAATGGTTGCTTCCAGGAAGAGATTACTGAAAGTAAAGTTCTGCCACTGATTGCCACTGAATACCATTACTACATTAGTGTGAGGGTCCTCTGAAACTGCCTCTGAACATAACACTGAAAACTTGAAGCTAGAAGTACTTTACTGAACCACTTTTGGTTGTTTTGGAAATGCAGGAAGTGCCTTGCTAGTGGCAGAAAGTGTGCTTGATGAACAGAAGATGTGCCCTCCTACAGCTGTGCTACAGTCCCTCAGTATGACTGAAGGCAAGCAGAGAAGTGGCTCAGAATATAAGCAGCTGCTGGAGAAATATGGATTCACGAATGTACAAATTAAAATCACAGAAAATTTACTGGATGTTCTTTTGTGCTTCAAGACCCTGTCGCCATAGCATGCCCAGGAGCAGACTGGGATGCTGAGTTCTTACAACACTTGGTGCAATGTACCCATCATCAGCCAGCACATACTGTCAGTTTAGGATCATTTTGACCCTTTATCTAAGGAATAGTTGTTACAGGCCTTTTGGACTGCAGCTTCTGCAGGAGTGAGTTCTACACATTTAAGAAATGTCTGGCCAAAATATGTATTAAATATGTTCATGCCGGTTATCTTGGCTAGTTTGCAGACTGTATTAAGCTCAGAATTGCTGTCCAGATGTATAGTATGACAAGTTAAAACTAAAAACTTTTATGAGCCACATTAATACCTTTGTCTTCCTGGACCTTGAAATTAAAGAGAATTCCCCCTCTGCAGTGTATTCAGTGGTTACTGCTCATTTTTATTAGAAATTAAAAAAAAAGAAAAATAAAAAATACTGTACAATCTCTCTAAATTCGGGGATGCTTGTCCTCTTTTTCACTTTTCTGTGGGGCTTCCCTCAAAAACATCTCAAGGATACTCTTTTTTTTTTTTTTTTTTTTTAAGCACTTTATCTACAAGAAAAAGTGAAAATAGGACATAGCTCAAACATATTCCTACAGCACTTACAATGTCGCAGAGAAACTTCAGCCACAGTATGCACCCACACAGACTGTAGTAAAACCTGTTCCTGTCAGTTTGGGGATTTTTGTAAGATGGTTAAATGGCCATATATGTTTTCTGTCTCATTACTTGAGCTTTAGGATTTATGTATAAATTCTCTCATGAAAATTGAAAACAGAAGTTTCTTCATGTTCTTCTAGTCTTTAGTTGGAGAAGTATGTACTGTATCCCACCTCTTCAAGAAATTTGTCACTAATGTCACCTTTCCTAATGTTTTTTTAATTTCTTTTTTCCCCTGGTACTTCATTAATATTTATTTTTTCTATTTAAAGTGTACTTTGTAGTGGAAGCCTTCCTGGAGATTAAAGTTGCACTTTCATACTAGTTTTCTTCTCTATCAGTTGTGATTTTTCTTGCCTGTCACACTTCTACAGCAATAATCCCAGTAAGCCAGTGTGAGAGTAGCCATGCCTATGCTAAATCATGAACCTCAGCCAATTAAAGAGAGTTGATGAGCAAGGTCAAGCATCTGCCTGGCAGACTCTTGTCTTACATTACTTAATCAGAAGTTACTTTGCACTTTGAGCACTGAGCAGAGTGAAAGTGTCACAGTGATTCAATTCATTATGAGAAATACGCTTACTGCAGAACATTTCAGCTGCGCAAAATCAGGGAAATGCCAGACTTTTACATCACTGGGGTTTGAATTCTTGGCAGGAGGCTTTTATGAATGGAAATTTGGCTGATCATGTCTGTACAGACATTTAAAGAGATAAGGCAAATTATTCAACTGAATGAATTTTCAGTGTGTCTTTTTTCCATTTTGACATGGAGCTTGCCGTTGTGCTTAACAGGTTTGTATTTTGAGAGAGACTCATTCCAGCAATCAGATGTTTCTCATCTCATAATTATTCATTTAGTTCATAATGCTGTTCTTTAAGCTGCTATAAACTTGTTTGAGTCAGAAAATTTCAATCCTAAAGTTGGCACACCTGAAGCTGTCACAGACTTTAAAACTATGCCTCTAAGTACTATATATCCGATGGTAAAATTTGAATCGAATGTGCCTGGCTACCATACAACCTCAACGTACTCTGTGATTAAAGCACAACAGTAATACACATTAAGTATTAGTCCTTTGGGCATGGTGTCTGTGGTAATACACCACAGCTTTGCACTCTCGGGATAATTAAGCATTGGAGCATGTTGCCCAGAGAAATTGTGGAATTTCTGTCCTTGAGACATGAGGGTTAATGGAATGATAGATAAGTAATAGAAACAAGAACTTCAGCACTTGTTCACTGAATGCTGAGGTAAGAATCCTTGAGAAAAACAGAAAAGTTTGTAAGAAAGAAGAGACACAACTTGGTTGGCTGTCCCAGCTCAATCATTTTTATATCCATTTTGACCTTGTTACAGCTATTAACAGTACTTCTGCCTGGAAGAGTAATCGAATAGAAGCAAATGGTAGTAGGTAGTAGGTCATCTGAGCTACCCACCACAAAAGCCTGGGAAGAGCTATTTAATGGCTAAACCGCTTTGTGTGGGCTGTGAGGTCATTTTAGGATATGTAAGATGACTGCTGGATACTGGAAATATTTAATGTGGGGTTTGGTTTTGTTCTTAAAAATCAGGTTTTGGAGGGCTGACACTCTCCTCACTCTCACTTATCTTTTGGCTGGATATTACATCCTTGCTAAACAATGATAATCTGGATTAAATGACTTTCTAATTCAGAAGAGACCGTTATGACTATGAATTTTTATCTCTGATAAAACCATGGCCAAAATTTCTTCATCAAAGTATGCCCCCAAAGGGTTGAAAATTATCTCTGTTTCAGTCCTTCTCATGAAGAGGGACTGGAGAGAGAATTTTTTGTTCTTTTTACCTGTACTAACTTAATTTACTGTGTCTAATTTCTGAAGGCTGTGCTTTCTGGGTATATTTTTCCAGATTGCCTTTATGTTATCCATCCCAAATAACTTTCTGTGGCAAAGTGGAATGACCCATCTACCCGTGTCCTCCTTTCAGAATGTGCAGAATTCAGACACCAACTTCCAAAGCTGTATCATAATGGTGACTTAGAAATGATAGCCATGTATTACTCTACCTAGCAACATTTGCTGTATAACCAGGAACAGTGATTCCCAGGTGTCTCTGTTGAAGGCAAAGGAGAATCAGATGGGTAGGGGACAGGAAATAGAAACCACTGAATCGTAACAAATGGGCTACATCACTCTATCTTGAGATACCTAAATATTAGGCATTCAAATCATCTACTCACATTGAATCTCCAATCAGTAAAAAACTGGCTTTTTCAGAGGATGATTCATCTCACCTGTCTGTAAAAGAAAATTTATTAATAAGCTGTCAGAAGGACTTTTGTGACTCCTGATAGTTAACACCAAGGTCTCAGCCAGCAACTTTATCTCCAGATCTTGGTCTGTTCACTAAGGAGCTGCAGTGTCATGTTCAATTTACTGTTTATCATTAAATGTCTGAGGTTTACATGTGAGGATGGCTTTGAGGAGATTGTCTTAAGGGTCAGAAAGATATAAATGTTATGCAGTACTAAACAGCAGTTTACAGCTATTTTAGTACTATTTTGATCTGAATTGGTGGCCTCCTACCCACACTGTGCCAAGAGAAACCACCACATAAGATGCAAGGCCAAAAGGCAGTGTTTTGTCAGTAGCCCTCTCATATTCCCTTTCTGCTCGTGGGTCTGAAGATGGAGGAGGAGGCTGTGTGAAATCACTTAAGGATCTGCTTGCATCCCTATATTAGTCACACCACAAAGGCCTGTTCCTACAGAAATAATGCACAATAACACTGACTTTTTTTCTGCCTCTATAATGCTTACCATCCACCCTTTTGTCTGCTTGGCACCACTTCAATATGAATGGGGAGCAGTAATAGAGATGTAGCTACTATTCCTGTCTTACTGTTTTCCATAACCATCATGCCAAGTCTACAAGAAGTCATCCCTTCTTTCCCTAAGAGGTGGCCTGACTTGTGTTTCATTCCTCCATAGTGTGGAAGAGAATTTCCTGGGTTTTGTGAGAGGAGTGGATTATACATTTAATGGTGGGTTAGTTATAGCAGAGCAAATCCATAGAAATTATAAATGAAATCACCTGCATCTGGTAGTTTGCATCCTATATATGATAGCAGAAATTCTCTGGCCTGATAGTGGATTAGTATTGTTGCATGCCTTTGTTTTTAAATTAGGTTGTGAGATTTTGCTGGCTGAAATGGTACTGGATGATGAGAAGAAGAAGAGGCGTACAGCTCTGCTGCAGTCTTTGAACATGCTTGTGCAGACAGAAGGAAAGGAGAGAAGTGGCTCTGAATATCAAGCCTTACTGGAACAACATGGATTCACAAATGTCAAAATCAGAGTGACAGGAAATTTGTTAGATGTCATTCTCTGCATTAAGACCTAGGAAAAATTGATTTAGTAGTAAAATCTGGATGTCTCTAGACATGTTTTGTGTTTTGTAATTATGCAAATACATTCTTAGTTTCCCATCAGTATTGTAAACAAGAAATGTTATGGTAGCTTTCTGAAGTTACTTTTAAAAAGGGGAGGGATCGATTTCATTTATTTTGAACGCTAGTGTAATGAAGCCAGAAGAGTCTACCCTCAGAAACAAGTCTCCAGCCACAAATGGTGTCAGCAGCCCCACAGCAGTATTCACACTGCTCAGAAATCAGAGTTTCTTCATACTTGGTGCAATTAGAATAGTCCTGGGCTCAGACCAGCTTTGCCCGTTTCAGGGGGTCAGTGCAGGTATCACTTTGATACTCCATCACCATCCATTTTAATATGATTTTATGTTACGCACTCTATTGTAAATAAAGAAACATTCTCTAACAAAGTCTGGAGACCGCTACTGCAATGGCGTGGGCAAGATTGGAAACAGAAGAACTAGAGAGAGTCAAGGTGGACTCAGCCTTCTGTGAAGTTTCTGGAAAAAAACAGTTGTATAAAAGCACAAGTTTCGTCTGTGATTATAATCAGACATGAAATGCGGGAGCAACACGTTTAGTTCAAGAACATCCTCCTCCTCCTTTTTAGCCCTTCTTAATTTGTGAGCACTTACAAAAGTGGATAGCAGAATATGAGACTAGATAAAGAAAAGGATTTTTTTAAAAAAAAAAGAAAAAGTGCAGAAACAGAAAAGAATTTCCCTCAGTCAGACTCA